TATATATATATATATATATATATATATATATATAATAAATGCTGTTAACAGTTCCAAAAACTGTATATCAATAGAAGAACTATCAATGAAAAAGCTGTAAAAGTTATAACAAATGCAGAATAATGAAATAAAATCACGAGGAATCAATGAATGATTAATCAAAATTTTGGTACAACAGATTTTCAATTAGATTAAAACAAAGTATAAACTTGAATTGAAAAAGAAAGGTGTGTTCTGCCTTTTTCCATATTCATAAGTTTAAAAAAGTTCAAGCACAAAAAAAATTCTTTTCTTATTCATTTATATTCTTTCGCTTCATTCAGTTTTCTGTTTAACGTATACAATAAACAACTATTCAGAATTTATTGATCTTATATTTTCTTCTAAAACTTCAATTTTTTCCTTCTCTCCCTCTCCAATTAAATGTTAAAATCGAAGGAAAATAAAACAAGAAAAAAAATAAACAGAGGAATGAGAAGTTAACTAACATAAACAGTATGTATGTAAAGCCACAAAAAAAAAAAAAAATTAAAAAAATCTGCTGTTTTTATTAACAAATTTTAAATTAAAAAAAAAAACATACATACAAACATGCAGCTGTATGATACGCATCAATACAACAGCTTTTGTAACACGAAATTACAGTATTAACTACGCTGATATTTTGACAGTTAAAAAAAACTGGTAAAGTGAAAAGAGAAGATACAAAACTAGAAGACGAACATATTTGCCCTTAGAGCATAGCGTTTCTACAAAGTTCTTTTTTTTTTTTTTTTTTTCCATTGCCCTTCTGAACTGTTGTCGTTCAGTGTACTATTTGCTGATGTTAGGCCATTTCATAATCGCTGCAGTTGTCGTCACTGTCATTACCATTGTTACGGTTGTTTCGGCGTCGTTGTCGATGTCGCTATAAATGGTCGCTGCAGTGGTCGAAGGCGTAGCAACAGCAACACAGTAGTGAGGTAGTGGCAGATAGTGGTCGACGAGGTTTGGTGTAATTGTTAGACAGTGATCGCTGTCGTCAGCACCACTGTATTTGGCTGGCCAATACATATGTATTCACCTTGAAAAATCATAAATCTTCATTCACTTATGTTCTCTCCCATACCTTTCGCTTTTTCTTTATAAGAAAAAAAAATTTTGTTTCTTCTGCTTTTTTCATTTTTCTTCACATTTTTTTTTTTTTTTTACAACTGTACTCATACAAATTTGGATGCAAACTTGGTTGTACAAAAAATTTTACTGTCTTTCTTATATCACTCAGTTTCGAGTGAAAGCAAAAGACCCAGCAGACACGGAAGAGCAAAAGGTGATGAATCACTTTCAGACTACAGTGATCAAAAGGGAAGGACGTATGTAATAAGATGGCCCTGGAAGAATCAAATGGCCAGACCAGCAGAAAATTTTGGATTATGGTAGGTAGACTGAATTCATCAGGGCAAAAAATAAGCAAGGATCTAAAACGGATCCACGACTATGATGAGATTGTCAGGCATCAAATGAATGCGGGGTTCAGAACTGGTGCACTGTCTACTGCGCCAGTCTGTAGTTACTCCGGAAAAAGCTGGTACAAGCTCCGAATAGTCTACGATGCATCAGCGCATACGTCAGGAGCTAGTCTTAACGAAGCACTGCTTAGAGGATTTGTAATACTACCTAACCTATGCGACATCTTACTAGGCTAAAGAGCCAAAAATCACGCTTCAGTTGCAAACTAAGGAAAGGCATTTTTTCATTTTGAAATTGATGAAGAACATAGGAGAGTAACGAGGTTTTTTTAACAAGGTTTTTTTTTTGTTTTTCATTGTACGGAATACAATAGGTTACCAGTCTACGCAACAATTTATCGTTAAGCAAAATATTATTTAAGCAAAGTGTCGGAACATTCCTACAGATACATTTATAGTGTATTTCAACCTTCAGTGGAACGCCAGTTGTAGAACTATTATTGATTTTCCTTACTGCTTTCTTCGGCTATCCAACCATATGTTTTGTATTGGTGAGGCAATTCTTTGTTTGGTCGCACAGTTGTGTAAGTTTTCCGCTGAAGAGAGGAAAACAGTACAGGGTAAGATTTATTGTTATTTTGGCTTTACTGGAAACCTACTGCGTTTGTTAGTTGCGTTTGCTATTTCTATATTGACCGTTAGTGATATCTGTACTTGACTGTAACTTAAGTGTCGAAGGCTCACGGATTTTCAGGTCGGTGATTTGTATTGATTTGTTTAAAGAGTAATAAAGTTGTATATATTATTTTTTGAGTTTTGAGACACAGATAATTGAGAATGAGCCTAGTATTTACAAGTTAACTCAAATATAAGTGAGAAGGTTAATTAGAGAACCTTCCCAAAATATATAGTTGTTTAATAAGATTATATTATTTCCCAATATTCAGAAATATAAACAAAAGACTAGAAAGCGACAACTTAATCACATTTGGAATAATTTGCAATTTCTTCCTGCTGGCAGCGATCCTTAAAACAACTATCAAATAACACTTATGTTGGTAATGTAATTTTCGCTACATTAGATTTAGGTGACTTAACCAATAAATACAATGAATTAAAGAGCAATTGTAGAGAGGCAGAATCGAATATTAGGCAGTTTACAACAAACCGTTTGCCTGCTAGCGTCAAAATCCCATTCGACGCAGACAGCAGGACAAAATAATCTCAGTACTAGGTCTAGCTCGAGAACCACAGAAAACTTTCTGACAAAAAAGTTAATAAAAGGTCAATTTTATTGTGTATTGCTAGTCAGTAAGCCTAAGCCGTCAGGCCTTACATCTCTCACTACTCTAGACTTAAAACTTTTTT